GAATAGCAAAATTGTTATCAAAGGGTATACATGAAAACATTAATTTTTATTGGTTTGAACGTGTTTCCAATCGATTTATTAGGTCCAAAATCTACAGAAACCACATGTTTTTTGTAATTATAATATTATTATTTTTACGATTATTTAAGAAAATAGAAATATCGAGTGCTTTCCGGTCCTGCTAAAGTACATGTAACATTACCGAATAGCAATATAGTTTTTCAAAGTAATACATGAAAAACTTTATTTTTTTTAGTTTGAAAGTGTTTTTTCAAAAAAATCGATTTATAAGGGTCAAAATATTTCAGAAAACATTTTTTTATAATTATAATATGATTAAATTATTACGGATTATGTAAGAAAATAGATATATCGATTGTTTTCCGGTCCTGTGAAGTTACATATACTTAACCGAATAGCAATATAATTTCTCAAACAATCACATAAGATCTTTGTTTTATTCATCACTACATTCTAATGTAGGATTAATGCAACTTTGATGTGCAGGTCGGTACTCTCAAAATTATCATAATTGTAACAATTTGATTAAATCATCACCTTTAGGTTGCTACAATATACAAGGTCTTTTTAATCAGCATGGGATTTAGCACATGTGATAAACAATACAACAACTACTGTCCTCCACTGATGACCATATTGCTTTTCACATAATATGGTCAAAATAAAGACATAATTGAACGAAAATGTATAACTTTTTCTTTATTTTACATAATATAACAATATAATAATAAAAAATATGGATCAATGCTTTGAATAACTTCTTTGTACTTTTACACATCATATTTCTGTCTTTCACACAACCTATAAAATATTAGAATATGATACAATGATATATGGTATGAGCAAGATTGAAAAATCGTGTAACTAATCATAATATTTTTAAATAAAATCAGTTCACCTTAATAAATCAATTTCTATCACTTTCACATAATTAATATGAAGGATAAGTGTGAATTATATAGATATTCGAGTGCTATTCGGTAAAGTAGATGTACTTTAGTATTACCGGAAAGCAATCAATATTAAAATTTGTAGCAACTTTGAAAATCTTGCAATTAAACATTAAATATTTATAACTAAAAAAATACAGTTTTCATGTAATACTTGGATAAACAATATTGCTATTCGGCCGGTAATATACATGTATCTTAGCGGGACCGGAAAGCACTCGATATATCTATTTTATCAATATATATTTATAAAAACATATTGTCTGAAAGATTTTGATATAATAAATCGATAAGTAACACTTTAAAACCAATTAAAATAAAGTTTTCTTGTATTACTTTGATAAACAATATTGCTATTCGGTAATGTACATATATGTAACTTAGCAGGACCGGAAAGCACTCGATATATCTATTTTCTTAAATAATCATAATAATAACCATATTATAATTATATAAACATGTTGTCTGAAAGAATTTGATATAATAAATCGATTGGTAATACTTTCAAACCAATAAAATAATGTTTTCATGTATAACTTTGACAAACAATATTGCTATTCGGTAATGTACATGTATCTTAGCAGGACCGGAAAGCAATCGATATATCTATTTTCCTAATTACTCGTAATAATTATCAATACATATCTATAAAAATGACTTGACTGAAAGATTTTGATCTAATAAATCGATTGGTGACACTTTCAAACCGATAAAATAAAGTTTTCATATGTTTTTATGAGAAATTTGAGTGCTTTCCGGTATTTCGGTGCTATCCGGTGCTTTCCGGTTTTTCTATGCACCGATATTGGTGTGATGGGGGTATTACTTTGATCAGATCTTTTGAGTTTTTCTTGATATTAATGAAGACCAAGTAATATATTTGTTTTCATAGTCTTTCTTTTACTGCATCCAGTGATATGAAGTTAGGCAGAGCCTATGAAAGTGGAATTCGGTTAGGAAAATTATTCATTTCTCTGTTTTAAAGGTGTCATTTGATATTTCATGCACCGCTTCTGTTTTTCGCTTGGAACATCTTGACAATAAGCCGAAAAATTGTGATCATAATGTTATTGGAATACTCTGCCTATTTTTATTGAGTTTCATTGAAAATGTTGTTGCCAAGCTAGAAATGACACTGAAAATTTCACTGATAGAAATCTCAGGGTGTCCACCATACATGCCATATTTCCAGCCACCCAGACAGGGGGATTTGGTTTTAAAAAGCAGGGGATTTGGACCAAAAGTAGGAAGATATTTAAGCAAGCACAAACCTGTCATTCTCTTAAAATGATGCAAACATAATTAACTTTCCCCCATTTTATTATGAAAATGAACATTTCTGCAACATATCAGTTGATATTTTAGAGTTTTAAATAGGGGTGTAACAATACGGCAAAAACCGTATTGCAATATATTGCCATTTTGTAGAAGCGTATTGCAATATATTGCAATACGTATTGTGTGTACATGTATATACATTGTATTTTGATGAAAAGATGGTGTGACTTTGTATATTATTATTATATGTATATATGTATTCTTAGTAGAAAATTATAAAAATATAAGGACTAATAGAAAGTAATCTAGGAACTTTAAATTTCAATTCATTATTGAATATTGTAATGTCCTGAAACTGTAAAACTGGAAACTATAACACATTAAAAGTTAACTAGTCCTTCAGAAAATCTCCCATGAATTGGCACACATGGACACAATAATCATTTCATGGCATGTTTTTCTTAAGGAAGATCACATTTTCAGCACTTAACGCAGCCCTCTGTGCAGACAGTATGTCGCCAGCAGTGCTGAATACCCTTTCAGAAGGGACATTGGTAGCTGGCACACAAAGACGTTTCTGTGCTAATGCAGCCAGATGAGGAAAGAACCACTTATTATCTTTCCACCATGAAAGTGGGTCTGAGTTCAAATCTAAAAGGTCTATTCCCATGTACTTGTCAATTCCCAACAAGTTTAAAATGCGACACTAAATAAATTCTGCTGTCAATATTTTAGATCCGTATTTTAAGAAAAAGCGACGTATTTTAAACTTGTGTTGCAAGAGTTACTCCCCTTTTCTTCTCACCAGAAAGAAAACAATGTCAAACATAGTAAATCTTACAGTCATTGTATACACACCGGTCTCTTAAATATCGGTGTACACAATGATCTTACAGTGTTAAGTGGTGTATTAAAATATGCATTGGATTCGTTTTTGTTTCTCCTCATTTGTGAAGAAATAAAATTCCCCCTCCTATTGCATTTTTCCCCCCTCCAAACGGCACCGACCCCCTTCCCCAAAAAGTGGAAAAAACACTGGTGACTTTCCAAGGGATCTTCAGAAAAACTTGTCACATATGACGGAGTCTCTTAATACAGTAAAGAAAATTAAAATACCATCTATATACCATTGTGACTTAACATACATAACTGTGTGAAGGAATAATATGTAACCAATTGCAAATAAACATAGGTACTTTAAATATTTGATGTAAATAAAATAAGAATCCTTGAAAAACAAATATAATTAATTTTATGCTAGATTTATATTGTATCATTTTAGTACAAATAAACTTGCATTTGATGCATTCGAAATCCTTGAAATAAATGTCATACTTTAACATCAAAAGTTTTTTCAATCAACATTTTCACGGACAATTTATGTAGCCCTAGAAAGATGAAATAAAAAATGCTGCCTTAAAAATCTTCCGTTTGCAGTTTGGTACTCCATAAACGAAAAAAAAAAATCTGACACAAATCTTAATCCAGTTTGCTCAGGTCATTATGTACATTACAACACACATCGGTTGCATCATTTGGCAGTAGGGTTTAGACGCTATGTCACCTTATACCTGTATTACATGTAAACTGTGTAATTGTTGCAGAGTTGTGTATAGGTTTTTTGAAGTGTACTGGCTACTGGATAATAATTGGACTTAATCATTTTGGCCCTCTGGGTGCTAAAACAGGTATTTTATATTTGGTTGAACTCTCACTGTTTGTCGGTTACCATGAGACAAAGCTAGTTTCAAACATTGCTAACCTCAAATTAATTCAAATCAAAATTTATTTTCGGTATATATAATTATATAACATTTCACAAAACATAAGCTGTGATTCTTTGAGTTTCTGATCGTAATTTTTTATCTGCATCATTCCCTTCTAAAGACCCAATGCGACAACAAACTCAAGGCGGGGTTACAATAATGTCCCAACAACAATTCAATAATTGAATTGAATTCACATTCAGTATCTGACTCTGTCATTGGTTAAGCACCTGTAATACTGACACTGATTGACAGGTTTATCAGAGGAGAATTGTCATACATTGATTTGTTTATTCTTTGACAGCTGAAGTGTGTTGTAGTAACCGACAATGCAATTATTCGTTAGACCCCTCCACTTTAATGGGGCAGATATTACTTCAGGCAGGTATAGTTGTAAAAGTTGGTTGTTTAAGTCTATTGTTAAATAATGTTTATTGGTAAATATGATGCTTTATTTTTTTGTTGGTTGAATTTTTAAAAATCACGGGGTGGGGGGGGGGGGGGGTGGGGGGGATTTCCATCCCTTGGTTGGAGATCGGGAGACCTTGTCGAAAATCAGGTTTTTTTTGTCACCCAGCGGGGGATATGACATGTATGGTGTCCACTCTCCTATATTTTCCTATAAAGTATGTATTCAAATATTCCTATAATGAATAATAAAAAAAATATTATAAATCTATATATTTTTTAATTGATTTTCATTTGATTTCCTTTTTAATATACAATTGTAGTCAATAGCCGCAGTAAGCCAACGGTCGAGCCTGCTTTGTGGTCCTGTCCTTTGACTTCCCCGTATTAGAAAAGACGGACATATATTGCTCTTGTTCTATTGAAATGTTACCTGCTTTTCAAAAACTGAAATATCTGTACAAAATATACAAGTAGGTACATGACATTCCAAATTGTCAGTTTATTAGTTTTAGAAGCAAAATTTTGTGTAGAATTATATCTTCCTTTTAATATTAAACATAACGGTGTTCGATTTTCAGGAAGAAATGAAGAGACAAAATCCAGAGCTGGGAAAACCAAAATCTTACACTCTGGGACCAAAATCAAATGAAGCATTTGAGACGTTTTACAAGGTATGTACAGTGATTTTTCCCCCTATATTTTACAGCAGAATAAAGGCAGTTTCCCCTTGCCTAAAATAGGTATATTTTCAACTGAAATTCCCTTTGTATTGTAATAAGTATTGTTCAATCAATTGCAGTGTATTGTTTAATCATATTGCAGGTTATTGTTATATCAATTGCAGGGCATTGTTTAAACATATTGCAGGGTATTGTTTAAACATATTGCATGGTATTGTTTAATCATATTGCTGGGTATATTATTTAATCATATTGCAGGGCATTGTTTGATTATTTTGCAGGGCATTGGAATTGTTCCAGAGGATGAATGGGAGATATTTTTAGAAACAATGAGACATCAGCTGCCTACAACATTTAGAATCACTGGATCTAGAGAGTAGGAGCAAGATTTTATATTAGCTTGATTGTGATGTAATAGTTAAGTGTGATTGTGAAGCAGTGTTTTAGCATTTTGTGAAGCCAGATTTTAAGTGTGAATGTAAGGCTACATTTTACAGAATTTACCAATTGTGTCAGCTGATTATCATCCAGGGCACATGCATTGCACACATTTAGCAGGTTTAAAGGGCAGGGCCTTTGCCAGCTACATGTACTTTGGAAAAAAAACAACATTTTGTTAAATTGGGAAAAACTATGCAGAGTTTTAATATATTTGAGAAATTTAAACATGTTGAAAAAAAAACCATATAAATGGCTTTCAAGTTTAGTCATATATGTATGATCATATAACCTGTCACAATTTTTGACAAAAAATATCTAAATTGTTCAGTCTGTCTTAAAAGTTAAAAAGAAATCATTTGTTTAGCAGCAGTTGGAATTTTTCTTTTTAAATTTGGAGGAAAAAAAACAACATTATTTTGAATTGAGAATGGGACCTTGTTATGTCCCTGAGTGAAAATACCTTAAATGGTAAGTGAATTTGTATGTATGTTTATTTTTAATTCAGTCAAGCTGAGGAATTGCTAAAGATAATCAAGGGACAGTATTTCAGCAAGTTTATTAGTAGAGATGATGGAACTCCAAAACTGGAGCCCAAATCGTTGCCATGGTAACTTTTCTTCTATATTTATTTTGTAAACTTGTATCTGAATATTAATATTTCTATATAAACTAGTTTTTGAATGTGACTTTCTAGCACAGGATTTTCTATTCTTTCATAAGATTTATATTATCCACAAAAACTGTTAAAATATGGAAACTATTTCTGACCTTATATTGATACTCAAAATTTGAAAAAAATGTTTAGTAATAAAATATTTTAACAGTATAATACTGAATATATTTCAGTATTGAAATAAAATTAGAATAGTTTGGATCTTTATTGTTAAATATGTCTGTTTTGTATCTCCTGTTCAACTTTTAAAAGTGACTGTATTTTATTGGTTATAAAGATTTTTGACTGGTTATATAACCCAGTATAACTGATGGTAAGCTTATTTACCCAAAGCCACAAGGCAAGGGTTATATGGCCAATAGATGTTCTTAATATACACAGACATATAACCTTTGAAGAAATTTTAATAATGAATTAATGTTACAACATAACTCCATTGTTTTAGGAAAAAATGAAATTTTAGGTATATAGATAAAGATATTTAACTGTCTTGATTATCCAATGAAATTCAATGTTACAAATGTGCAGAAATATGACACAATGATTTTTTTGTCAGGTATCCAAGTGAACTTGCCTGGCAACTGGATTTCACCAAGAAGCAAATAAAGAATGACAACACTTTGAAGAGTTTACATGGATTTCTCATCTCAGAAACAGAGAGTGTATGTAGGATTTTGTAATTGTTTGAACCGGGTCATGACAAAAGCAACATAGTGGGTTTGCGACCAGCATGGATCCAGACCAGCCTGCGTATCTGCGCAGTCTGAGTAGGATCCATGCTGTTCGCTTACCAACTCTATAACAAGTGGAGAAACTGAAAGCATACAGTATGGATCCTGATCTGGATCCGTGCTGGTTGCAAACGCACTATGTTGGTTTTGTCATGACGTGGCTCATTTAAAGAAGCTCCACTTATTCTTACATTAACAAAATGAATCCATTAAATAGAAAAATCTGCAGAGGATGATAAAAAACACCCGGAATTAGATTGAATATCAATTTTTTTGTGTTCAATTCTTACCCTAATATGAATGAAAAAGGTTGTTCGGGTTTTCATTTTTGTGTAACTTTGAAAAATGAAGTTGGGTTGGTAAAAAGTAAGCTAGAAAATGGCATGAAAATTTGTTATTGGTCCAGGCCAACCTGAAATGGTACACAAATCTTTTAAAGATAAATTGGTCCCATTATGTCAAAAAACTTTAGTGGAGTCGCATTAATTTTTTATATTTTTCTCAATATAAAATGTATTGTAAATAGGTTGTTGTATAATTATGTTGTATAATTACTAATTAGGTTTAAATTTTGTTGCCACTAGTTTTTTTAGAAGAAAAAAATTAGAAAATTGCTGTTTATTAAAAAAATTATTTTTTGGAAGGGGTTTGGGGCATTGTTTAGTTTTGGGGCAAAATGAACAAAAATAAAAATTCAATTAAGATGTGAACAAAGATCATCTGTAAAGAAAAATTACAAATGTTAGGTTACCATATTGTATATAATTATATATTTCAGGGAAACATAAGCAGACAGGAAGCTGTGAGTATGTTGCCACCATTACTAATGGATGTTCAGCCACATCATAAGGTAACCCATTTACCTCATTTTTAACTTGAGTTTTCTTAGAATAGGGAGAGCAGTTATACACAACCCGGTGTCACTGTCACATATTGGGTTTTTGCATGCAAGTTTACTTTCTCCAACACTACCAAAGGGAATAAGTTTAAACTTCACACTCTTATTTGAGAGTACAAAAGGAGCTCTCTATCGAAGGCCTATAACATAAGGATATATTTTAACAGAATTATGAATTAATATTGAATTGAATGATAATATCAATGACTGATGATGATATATTGATGTTGTGATATTTGATTAATAGTAGTTCTACATGATGGCATTTTGTTTCACCCTGCATAAACCTTTATTGTACTGTGATTGTATTTATATTGTATTTGACAGGTACTAGACATGTGTGCAGCTCCAGGTTCTAAGACAGCTCAGCTGATAGAGATGTTACACAGTGATGATAATGTCCCTGTTCCAAGTATGTATTTAATACAAATCTTATATTAATGTATATTCATTTACCTACTTTCATGATACCAATCTTACTGTTGCTATTGTCCTTTACCATTATGTAATAATCACCTAGTTAACCCTGACCCAGCTAAATATTTTATATGTACTTGTCCATCTTTCAATGTGGACAGAACCATTCATCAGTTATAGGGAAGGGAAATTTTCAAAATATGTACTGATTAAATAGAGGCCAGTGAAGACCATGATCAGATGGCATTGATGTGCCAAATCTTTGTCAACACTGATTGCTTGGGTAGAATCTGATGTTGCCAGTAGACAAAAGACTTAATGTTTGTCTTAATGAATTAATATCGTGGATTTGGCCTGGTTTGCAATGCAACAGTTAATGAAATATATTGGATTACAGTATCAAAAATAAGTATCCATCAGACTGCAGGTGGCAACTGATTAACCCATGCTACCAGTACAGACCATGATGCAGTGGCATATCCTGATTGAAAGTTGGACAAGTTCATTTCAGATATTTACGGGTTAAATTCATTAGTCAACATTATTGAGTCTTGTGATACTGCATATATTTGCAGATTTGCATGAACCACATAAAAACTGATACTGATGCTTTAAAAGCAGATTGATGATATAAAAAACTGAAATCTTAAGTTCCTATTTCACTCCTATTTTAAAAAAAAATATTTAAATTTAAATATGAAAAAAGTATCGAAAGAGTACTGTGTAGATAATTTTTTTTTTAATTATTATTTGCTGAAATGCTTCTTCTGTATTTAGGTGGTTATGTTGTCGCAAACGATATGGATAATAAACGCTGTTATTTGATGACTCATCAAGTGAAGAGGATACAGAGTCCAAACTGTATGATTATCAACCATGATGCTAGAATACTTCCAAATATGTTCACATCCAATGACGAGGTTAATTTGTTGTTTTTAGCTCGACTTTTCTATGAAAAGGGGAGCTATCCTACTCGCCCCGGCGTCGGCGTCGGCGTTAGCGTTGGCGTCACACCTTGGTTAAGTTTTTCGTACCACCCCACTTTATTTCAGAAGTATTACAAGTATGGCTTTGAAACTTACCATACTTGTTCACCATCATAACCTCCATCTACAGACAAGAGTACATAACTCTGTCAAGGTTTTTGACAGAATTATGGCCCTTTTTTGACTTAGAAAGTGTATTGAGCTTGGTTAAGTTTTTTGTACCACCTCACTTTATTTCAAAACCATTGGAGGTATTGCTTTGAAACTGACCATACTTGTTTACCATCACGACCTTCATCAACAGACAAGAGGACATAACTCTGTCAAGGTTTTTGACAGAATTATGCCCCTTTTTGACTTAGAAAATACATTGAATATGGGTAAAATCCACTTATTGCCTTAACCCTTTGAGATATTGCTTTGAAACTTTTAATGCTATTTTCACATCATTACCCCCATCTGTACGCAAGAGAAGGTAACTCTGTCAGGATTTGTTTTAAAAATTAAGGCCTTTTATCGACTTAGAATCTTGGTTAAGTTTTTTGTACCACCTCACTTTATTTCAAAACCATTGGAGGTATTGCTTTGAAACTGACCATACTTGTTTACCATCACGACCTTCATCAACAGACAAGAGGACATAACTCTGTCAAGGTTTTTGACAGAATTATGCCCCTTTTTGACTTAGAAAATACATTGAATATGGGTAAAATCCACTTATTGCCTTAACCCTTTGAGATATTGCTTTGAAACTTTTAATGCTATTTCACATCATTACCCCCATCTGTACGCAAGAGAAGGTAACTCTGTCAAGGATTTGTTTTAAAAATTGAGGCCTTTTATCGACTTAGAATCTTGGTTAAGTTTTTAGTACCAGTCCACTTTTTGACTGAAGTGTTTGAGATATTAATTTGAAAGTTGGAATACTTGTTTACAATCATGATTCCCAAACATGTCCAGGAGAAGGTAATTCTGTCAAAGATTTTATTTGAATTATGGCCCTTAACTGTCAATGTTTTGTATTATAGGCAAGCACTAAAAAAGTCGAGCGCGCTGTCTTACGGACAGCTCTTGTTATGTCTAATTTGTGAGTCATGTAATCATGGCAAAGAAAGGTTTGAAACCTGGTTATTGGCTTTTATTATTCAGAGAATAGGGAGAGCTATTGTACTGGCTCAAGAGTCAGCGTCACACTTCGGTTAAGTTTTCCAAATATGTTCACATCTAATGATGTTACACTATGGTTAAGTTATTGCATGCAAATGGTGTCTTAAACACTACGAAAGGGAATAGGTTAAAACTTGAAACACATTTATTTGAGAGCACAACAGGGGATCTCTGTTCTAAGGCCCATCACACTTGTTGACAGAATTATGGCACTTTAGTAGAAATTTTGAATTGGGGAATGGTTGGATTTCAGAGTTTCTACTGTATTTTCTTCCAGAGTTTATGGTGATTACTACTGAATTAATGTGTTATTTGTTTTTTTTTGTAGGATGCAGAGGTTATTAAGTATGACAGAATATTATGTGATGTACCTTGCAGGTAAATTGTTTTATGTTTTTTCAATAGTTTTGCTGCAAAAATAGTAGATAGGGACAAGTTATATCTTAAGAAAGTGAAAAAGTACATGTTTTTAAGCAAAGAAAAAGACTGACAGGTTATTGGTTTTACCCTTATGACTGGTCTTGAAGAGTTACGTAGAATTTGTTGAATATTTTAATCCACCTCACTATAACCTTCAGTCTGTATCTATATCCAAGCAAACAAATACAACTAACCATGTCCTTTTACCTGCTTAAATTTTGTAAAGGATTTGCTATACTTTGAAATTGGAATATTCCACTTAAAGTTTAAGAGATTTCGGTATCAGAATACAAAAATTGAGCTAGTGTAACAGTGCATAACCTGGTCAGACTGAATGGATGTGCTGACTGGCCTAGTATCTGTGCAGTATCACTAGGCCCTATACTAGTGGCAAAGGCTAATAGCTTTTGGTTCCAGCAGGTTAACAGATTTATCCTACATTGAATTTGGAACATTATACTCACTTTCAATTATTGTGTGGAGATTTGATACAAAGATAGACTGGTTTGTCCCTATACTAGTGTCATAGATATTATTAAGGCTGTCAGTAAACTTTTTGATACACATGTATATCATTTTACATGTACATGACAATGAAAATTTTTTACCAAAGCTATGGTATTTATAAAGAAAAGTGTCATAACATTTGACATACATGTAACATAACTACTCATTTGAAATTATTTGTTTTATTTGTTACAACAGTGGTGATGGAACAATGCGAAAGAATCCAGATATCTGGACGAAATGGCATGTTAATGGTGGCTACAACCTTCACAGGTTTGTGAATATCTGTCCTTTTTTTATATTGAAAAATCTTTTTACGATTATCTCTCCATCAGCCTTGCTCAATAGGGAGAGCATCAGATTTGTATCTCAGGGGTCACTGGTTCTATCCTTGATGGGGGAAATTTCTCCGTGATAATTGATCTTTGGACATTGAGTGTAATGGTCATTTGTCTCTCTCACTGCTGATTCAGAAATCGTATAGGATTAAAGTATGTTTCTTTTAGTGAAATTAATTATTACTGGTTTGTTATCCAGGAAAACAAGTTCTGTGGACCGACCCCCATCATATGACAAAATGTGTTAAAATTGGTGGAAACAAAATTAAAAATGTGCCCCACCATATGACAAAATATGATAATATTGGTGGAAAAACTATCAAAATTGCCTTGTTAAAAGAAAAATGGTTTTCAAACACTGATGCTTATCAAGAATTACTTATTTATTATTTTCCTGGTAGCTTGATAGCTAAATTATTAATGTAAATTATGATGCATTAATAAGTATGAAAACTTATAAATTTTAAAGAAAGAAATAATGTAACTAGTCACTGAAATTTCAGGATTCAGAAGAAAGTGTTACAGCGAGGATTAGAGTTATTGGCAGTGGGAGGTCGTCTAGTATATTCAACATGTTCTCTCAACCCAGTAGAAGATGAAGCTGTCATTTTAGCCCTTATAAAACAGTGCAGTATGTATTTAATCATATTTGTAAATTTTGTATTCTCACAGTATCCAGGGTTCATACAGTCTGAGAAGGTGCTTAAATTTGAGTCTGTTCTTAAAAAAAATCTTAAAAATAAAGCATTAAAGTTCTTAAAAATCTTTGAATTTGGTAACTCTCTTCAAAAGTGCTTGAAATAAACTTTAATTTGTCTGAAAATGTGCTTGAAAATGAAAAGGATAACAACAGAATCTATGGTAAAATGTTGATAGTTTTCAAACAAATGAGTCCATTTACCGTACTTTAAAATCAATAAAAATGTTTGCTCAATTTAGCACTTTAGTCATATTGTAATGCTACTAAAAGTGACAGAGCTGTTAAAATAAAATCATAATGGCTTCCATAGCTAAGGGGTAATAATGTTCTTATATTATTGTATATTTGTTAAAATCCTACCTTATTATAGAGGGAGCTATAGAGCTAGTAGATGTCAGTGATAAATTGCCGGGACTTAATTACAGCAAGGGAACATACTCCTGGAAGGTGTGTATACAATTCTAAAGATTGTCACTTAGCTCAGAGACACATTCTTGAAAATGTGTTATTATATGTTTGCAGTTAGGTGTTATAGCCAATTTATGTTTGTACTATACAATGTAGTTTTATAAGGCAAAAGTGTACAGCCTAGGTTGTTACTTAGCTCTTTAAAGAGCAGTCTTCTTTACATCTGCCTTTATAAGTTATTTAAAAAAAATGATGTTATAATTTGAATGCCAAATTGATTTCTTGTTTACAATGTAAATTTCAAATTGATGTATTCATGGAATGTTCAATGTTCTCTAACTGATCATCAGTGTTCTTTCATGGTAGAACTTGTACTAGAATTAAGTTAAAAAGAACTGGCAGAAAGCTAGAAAATAAAATTTAACCACATAGACCAAAATAATTGGATGGGTATAAAATATAGACTGAAATAAATGGATGGATATAAAACATATATATTCTTTATTCTTTGGTTATGTTGTTATGTATAATACATATATGGTTGTCACTATGTTGTTACAGGTTATGACAAAGAAAGGAGAGTGGTATGAGACTGAAGAACAAGCTCCGGAACATTTCAAGTCCCTGTGGGACAGTACGATCTATCCACCAATCATAACAGAGGCACAGGACGCCAAATTAGAGAGATGGTATGTGGTAGTATTAGTATGGTGTCTGTAAATAGTTCTGTATATGAAATGAGGTGTGTACTGGACTTTGAATTTTTAGCTCGACTTTTTTTTTTTTGAAAAAAAAAGTAGAGGTATTGTTATAGTCAGGTCGGCGTTGCCGTTGCCGTCCGAAAACTTGTACCTGGATCATAACTTTTTTATTTCTTGGTGTATTGTCTTCATACTTGGCCACAACAACCCTTGGGACAAGACCTTTCAGTAGACCACACTAACCTTGACCTTCATCCATAAATGACCTTGACCTTCAAGGTTAAAAGTCCAATTTTTTGCTTGTTCATGCTGTTATTGGCTGTAACTTTGTTATTTTTGAATGGATTGTCTTCAAACTTGAAACATGATAATCTTCAAGGATATCCCTTAAAAATAACCAGTCAGACCTTGACCTTCACTCATCAATGACCTTGACTTTGAAGGTCAAATTATTGAAATTTTAATTTTTTTGGCTATTTTTGGCTGTAACTTTGTTATTTTTGAATGGATTGTCTTCAAACTTGAACATAATAATCTTCAAAGATAACTGTTAAAGATATACCGAAAGACCTTGACCTTCACTCATAAATGACATTGTCTTTGAAGGTCAAATTATTGAAATTTTCATTGTTTTGGCAGTAACTGACTGTAACTTTGCTATTTATATAAATGTGTGTATATATATATTGTTTGTTTGTTTGTGTCATTTTACGCCTTTTTCCCAACAGTATTTCAGTCATATAGGCGGGTAGTTTCCTAACCATCGTTCCTGGAGAGTTACACCAGTACTTGACTACCTTCCTCTGCGCTAAACTACCAAAGCATCTCCCGGGGATCGAACCCACGCCAGAGAGGTAACTGTATTAGAAGTCATCGACTCTAACCACTCGACCACGGAGGCGGTTATATATATATATATATATATATATATATATATATATATATATATATATATATATATATATATCAAATATATACATATATATACATGTGTATTATATATATATATATATATATATATATATATATTTGATATATATATTATATATATGTATATATATAAATATTTTTTTTTTTTTTTTTGAATATATAATATGCATATATATATATATATATATATATATATATAGATATACATACACACACATATATATATATATATATATATATATATATGCATATATATTCAAAAAAAAAATTTATATATATACATATATATATATATATATATATATATATTTTTTTTTAATATATATATGCATATATATATATATATATATATTATATATATATACATGTATATATATATATATATATATGTATATATATATATATATATCAAAATATATATATATACATATATATACATGTGTATATATATATATATATATTTAGCAAATATATATATATATATAATATATATATATATATTTTTTTTTTTTTGAATATATGCATATATATATATATATATATATATATATATATATATATATATATATATAGATATATATATAGTTATATAGATATTATAGATATATATATATATACATGCATATATATATATATATATGCATGTATATATATATACACACACATATATATATTTTATTATAACTTACAAATGAAATATTGAGAAATATTGATGAAATAAAATGCGTATTTTCATTTTCTGTATGTTCACCGTAAAAATATTTTTCAAAGCAGTGAAACATATTTTCCGTACTTTCATTGATGTCTTGTCGAACTAATTTCTTCTAAATTCTGCCAGTACGCAAAATTTAAGGAAAAGTCTTTTCAAAATTTTATAGCAAAAAAGAGAAAAATGTATATAATAAACAGAAAATTCAAGTTTTTTCTATAAATACACGATTTATTTTCATCTTGTGGCATGAAAATTACCATATTTCACTCGTGGCTACCGCCACTCATGAAATATTTATTTTCATACCACAATGAAAATAAATCATGTATTATAGAAAAAAACTTGAATATCCTCTATATATATAAATTGCGTCACTGTTTCTATTTTTAGAAATTGCGTCATTTTTAAACCAGGTTTTTCGAAGGAAAAAACTGGTTATTAGATTGAGGTATGTCGGCGGGCGGGCGGACGGGCGGGCGGGCGGGCGGGCGGGCGTAAACAATTTCTTCTGTGCGCAACTCCTCCTACATTTCTCAACGGATTTTGACCAAACTTTCACAGAAGCTTTGTCATCAAGTGCCCTGGCGCATATTGTCGGGGTTTTGCGATTAGATAATATTTGACCTAATTATGGCCCTTTGTTTTTTTTCCTTATATAAAATATATAGTGAACAATTTCTTCTGTGCGCAAACTCCTACATTTCTCAACGGATTTTGACCAAACTTTCTCAGAAGCTTTGTCATCAAGTGCCCTGACACATATTGCCAGGGTTTTGCAATTGGTATATATTTGACCTAATTATGGCCCTTTGTTTTTTTTCCTTATATAGAATATATAGTGAACAATTTCTTCTGTGCGCAACTCCTCCTACATTTCTCAACGGATTTTAACCAAACTTTCACAGAAGCTTTGTCATCAAGTGCCCTGGCGCATATTGTCGGGGTTTTGCGATTAGATAATATTTGACCTAATTATGGCCCTTTGTTTTTTTTCCTTATATAAAATATATAGTGAACAATTTCTTCTGTGCGCAACTGCTCCTAAATTTCTCAACGGATTTTGACCAAACTTTCTCAGAAGCTTTGTCATCAAGTGCCCTGACACATATTGCCAGGGTTTTGCAATTGGTATATATTTGACCTAATTATGGCCCTTTTTTTTTTTTTTCCTTATATAGAATATATAGTGAACAATTTCTTCTGTGCGCAAACTCCTCCTACATTTCTCAACGGATTTTGACCAAACTTTCACAGAAGCTTTGTCATCAAGTGCCCTGGCGCATATTGTCGGGGTTTTGCGATTAGATAATATTTGACCTAATTATGGCCCTTTGTTTTTTTTCCTTATATAAAATATATAGTGAACAATTTCTTCTGTGCGCAACTCCTCCTACATTTCTCAACGGATTTTGACCAAACTTTCTCAGAAGCTTTGTCATCAAGTGCCCTGACACATATTGCCAGGGTTTTGCAATTGGTATATATTTGACCTAATTATGGCCCTTTGTTTTTTTTTCCTTATATAGAATATATAGTGAACAATTTCTTCTGTGCGCAACTCCTCCTACATTTCTCAACGGATTTTGACCAAACTTTCTTAGAAGCTTTGTTATCAAGTGCCTGGCACATATTGTAGGGGTTTTGTGATTGGATAATATTTGACCGCATTATGGCCCTTTGTATAGTTTTTCCCTTTATCATTTTTGTTTGAGGAATATTAAAAAAAGCCATAATTCCTCCTAAAAGTTCAATTAAAAACAAATGCCCCTTCATGACAAAGCTTCTGTGAAATATTTTGCTGAAAACCTGGTTGCATCGCATTGCGATGTTCCTTGTTTCTATTTTTAGAAATTGCGTCATTTTTTTTCTATTTTTAGAAATTGCGTCATTGTTGCTATTTTTAGAAATTGCGTCATTTTTTCTATTTTTAGAAATTGCTGCATTGTTGCTATTTTTAGAAATTGCGTCATTTTTTCTATTTTTAGAAATTGCGTCATTTTTTTTCTATTTTTAGAAATTGCATCATTGTTGCTATTTTTAGAAATTGCGTCATTTTTTTATTTTTAGAAGTTATGTCATTTTTTTCTATTTTTAGAAATTGCATCATTTTTTTCTATTTTTAGAAATTGCGTCATGTTGCTATTTTAAGAAATTGCGTACTGTTGCTATTTTTAGAAATATGCTTAATGTTTCTATTCATATATATACAAAATATATAAACAAAACTAATGTGACAAGACAGACCAACTAAATTTATAAAAAGGAAACGTCAGTATATGTTCAAACCTTTCTATGTTTGCGTTTAGAAAAAGTAAAAAGTCGAGCGTTGCCCCCGCCCGGCGGTGGCTCTTGTTAGATGTGCATTAGAAGTGAGGAAGCGCTCCATCTGGCTTGTGGAAGCTTGTGGGAGCTCAATGGTTCTACTCAAGTCAGTTTGTATCTGAACAGGTAGAAATGTTGGTGGTTCTACTTGGGTGCCTGTTTGTGCCTGAAATAATGCTTGGAAGGGAAGTCTTCCTCGACAATTAAACCTCGCAAATCACCATATGACATATACTGTGTTGGTGCGTCGTCACATAAACTAAAAATGAAGAAAAACAAAAACAACAGGTAATAGGTAATTCATTTTAATACTTTTACATTGTTCACCTGTCTTAATGCTGGTTATGATTTATATACATGTATATCAAAAAACTATCACATTGTTTTTACATAACCGACAATGTTCTCTCTGTTATAATTTTATACATACATCCATATATTTGTATTAATCTTTTAATATTTATCTTGATGTGTGTATTTAACAGTAGAATATTGATATATTTTCCAGTATAAGAGTGTTACCACATCAACAGAATACTGGAGCTTTCTTTATAGCTGTGATACATAAAACACAAGAATTACCATGGTCATCTGGTAGAGTCAACAGTATGTATATCTCTTACAAAAGTCTAAATCTTTCTTCTTCATTCAGTAAGATGATAACTGATGTTTTCTTAATTTCACCATAATCATATATATTTAAATTTTATATCCTTTTCTGGAAGCTGCATTTGCTTCAAATCAATTGCCTAAAGTGGCCCAGTGGTTAAGGTCATTGACTTCAAACCACTTGCCCCTCACTGCTGTGGGTCTGAATCCCGACAGGGACTTTGGATTCTTTCATGTGAGGAAGCTATCCAGCTAGCTTACGGAACGTCAGTGGTTCTACTCAGGTGCCCGTTCGTGCCTGAAATAATGCATGGAAGGGCACCCGAGGTCTTCCTCCACCAGTAAAGCTGGAACGTCGCGATATGACCTATAATGTGTGGATGTGACGTAAAACCCAAAACAAAACAAAATAATCTCATCGTGAATGTCCAGTTTATTAGTCCCCTACTGGTTTAACTGGAGGGGACTTTAGGTTAACCCTCCGTCCGTCTGTCTGTCCTTCTGTCTGTCAGTCCACAAAACTGGATCCCGCGATAACTCAAAAAGTACTGAAAATATTTTTATGAAACTTGAAATATGGGTAGTCTGGAGATTATGCACATCTTTTTCTTTTCTTCCTATGTTGAAAATTCTGGTTGCTATGGCAACAAATAGCTTGAATTTCAAGATTTTTCTTCTTTAAATTTTTCAGCTTTTTCACTATAAGTTCTTTACTTCTTAAGGTGTTTACTTCAAACTTTAAATATAAGTTTCTGGTCATCAACCATATCATATGTGACAAGGTTTACAACTCCACCAGCACAAAAATTATCAGTATTACCTCCCTTGAACTTAGAATTTTTATGAAAAAAAATGTCTTTTTAGCTCGACTATTCGATAAGAATAAGTAGAGCTATTGCAGTCACCCGAGTGTCGGCGTCGGCGTAACCACTTATGTTAAAGTTTTTGTAATAGTTCAAATATTTTCAAAGTCCATTGACATATGGCTTTGAAACTTTGCACACTTGTTCACCATCATGACCCCAACCTGTAGACAGGAGGAGGTAACTCTATCAAGCATTTTGACAGAATTATGCCCCTTTTTCGACTTAGAATTTACGTTAAAGTTTTTGTAATAGTTCAAATATTTTCAAAGTCCATTGACATATGGCTTTGAAACTTTGCACACTTGTTCACCATCATGACCCCAACCTGTAGACAGGAGGAGGTAACTCTATCAAGCATTTTGACAGAATTATGCCCTTTTTTTCGACTTAGAATTTACGTTAAAGTTTTTGTAATAGTTCAAATATTTTCAAAGTCCATTGACATATGGCTTTGAAACTTTGCACACTTGTTCACCATCATGACCCCAACCTGTAGACAGGAGGAGGTAACTCTATCAAGCATTTTGACAGAATTATGCCCCTTTTTCGACTTAGAATTTACGTTAAAGTTTTTGTTATAGTTCAAATATTTTCAAAGTCCATTGACATATGGCTTTGAAACTTTGCACACTTGTTCACCATCATGACCCCAACCTGTAAACAGGAGGAGGTAACTGTATCAAGCATTTTTTTTACTATCAAGCACTAAGAATAGTCGAGCGTTGCTGTCCTACCGACAGCTCTTGTTTAAATAACTTCTTTATTTCCTAATGTATCTACTTATAGTATGACTTACAGGCTTGCAAAAGAATATGTCAAAAATATGTTGTTGGTCTCAAATAATTAATGTAAAAAATGAGTGGAGTTGAAAAATGGATATATGAAGTTAAGATTTGAGATAAAAAATGACCTTAGAGGGATATAATTATAGTAGTAAATATATTTGAATTTGTCAAAATATATTGATATTTTGCTTCTTGAAAATAATGAGGCTTTAGTTTAAACATATGAGGAATTGCTTCTTCATTGTTGTAATTTGTATTGTTTCCTTCTTCCTTGTGTAGAATTTTATTACAAACTATACTCTAGGTCATAATTTTGTTTTATGAAAATACACCAAACTGCAAAAAATAACTTTCTTTTAAGGGCGTGTTGACCCAATTATCAATCCAAAAGTTAGGCTTGATGAGGCTGAGAAGAAAATCAAAGGGTCGGAACACTTCACGTTTGGTGTGCGGAACCATGGTGGACTTTACACATATGCCAGATGTAACTTGTGTAATGCAAAACTACAGGGCAGGAATGACTATAACAGCCATTTAGCGGGCAGGAAACACAAGAAGGAGGTTGAGGATAGAAGTAAGACCATTTTGATACAAGTTGTGGTCCTAAAATACAAATACTTCTGTCCCAAATCTATTGAAAGAGTACAATATCCTATTAATATAGCAGGTTGAGACCTTTGACCTTGTAGTAACGGGGTGCAAGAGTAACAAAGTTTTGTTGTTCCTTTTTTTTTTTTTGAAAAGTATTTTACATTAGTTAAAGTGTAAGTATTTTACATTAGTTTTAAGTGTTTTTAATGGTGTTCATAAAATGCCTCTGTCCTGAATCTGTTGAATAGAGTACTAAATATATCACGTCAACAGAATTTTTTTTTATTTAAGAATTTAATGTTTATACTAAAGGTCATTGAATTAAGTCATAATACACAAATGTCTCTGTTCTAAATTTGCGAAGAAATAACGTTTATATTAGGGAATTTCCTGAATTTTTTTTTTAATTCAGCATCAAGGTCATTCAGGTGACATTTATATTTTTCCAAAACAAGTTTTTTAAATTCTTAAATACTGAAAAATATTTGCACAGTTTTGTGACATTTTTATATTTTTAGAATCTTTTCTGTTTTCAACAAGATCTTAACAATGTCTGTATGAGGACAATTATTACAAACCTTACTAAAAATTATTTTATGAAATTTCCTTCCATTTTCAGAATTATTAGAAGAGAAAGAAAGCTTAACACAAAAATCTGATGAGGTTAAAACAGAGAACTCTGACACTGCACCTGTTGCCATGGAAACACAGAATACTGACACCATAAAAACTGAAGACACTGTTGATAAACAGAATGAAAATGATAACTCTGATAGGACAGAGAATGTAGATAAAGTTAAAGATAATAGTGAGAAGAGTGATAGTAATGTAAATACTGACAATAAAAATGAAGTTTTGAAAAGTGAGGACCCGCAGAAAAGTGGGGATAATGAAACTGGGGCAGCAGGACAGACAGCTGATGATAAGTATGTGTACTTAGAGTTGTTGTTTCTTTTTGTGTGTTTGTTTTAAGGGTTCTTGAATGTCTTATTTAAACAGATGGTCATAAAGCAAAGCTGGCCATGCTTTATTTATAAAATTTATTAACTGTATTATGTTCTTTTACTATAGTTAATTGCATAAAAGCAACTTTTGAGGTGGAGTTGCCAAAAAAACATTGGTACTGGAATAAATTTTCAGTTAACTGCTTCCACACTACATTTTGTACATGTGTTTAACAAAGGTAGTCCTAACAAACAAGCTAGCTATAATATTTAATAATTGATAATATTTTTGTTGTTGTTCAGAAGTCTCCCAGATTTTCTTGCATATCAGACAGGTTTATCTACTGTTAACACTGGTGCTAGAAAAACCTGTCTCACACCCTTCTAGTAAGACAAATTGCGTACTTTAAATGACGTCATTCAGGCATGCCTTTTATGAATGAATTGCATTCATAAAATAACGTCATTTTGACGTTATGAATGAAGTTGTAAATTCATAAGCTGCTATAAGAAAAAAGTGCCAAATGAAAATATTATTTTTCATAATTTTTTTTGAAATATTTTTTCTATGTAATATGCAAGAAAAAGAATCAAACGTCGGCTGCGGTATTCGACCAGAATATCCAGCTCTCAGGTAACTGATAAGCAGAAACTCTGCACAACCTCAATACTGGTGTAAACAGTTTTGACCTCTATATTCTGGTCTGTAGCGGCATCCAATGTAAGATCCAGATATGAATTATCCAATCTGCAATATTTACTGTTTGATATATTTTCATGACACAAACATGATCTCCGGGAATTTATGGTTTCGTTCACACTATACACATTTGTTGTAATGCTATTTTTTTTGCAGCATTGATTAACATATTTTTGACGATACTGTTGTTATATTCCAGGCCGCCACCAGCTAAGAAAATGAGGATGGAGAGCAAAGAAGAGGAGATAAAAGTGGTCATGTTCGGACATAAAGAAGACCCGTTCCTGTTCTGCTCCAAAAATGATCCTATATGGCCCAGTATACAGTAAGATAATAAAATTATTGAAAAAGTATTTACACATAATGCATAGAAAATATAGGTTGTAAGCTATAATTAGCAATATATAGGAAATATACAAGTTATTAAGTTAATTAAAAGGATTATTACATGTATACATACAAAATTCATACATACTTTTTCCACTCCATATTTGCTTTTGAGTTGCATGATATTAGTCCTTAGCGAGTTATAGAAAAATATCTGGTATTCCTAGATGCTTCACTTCAACATATCTATACGGTCGACAAGTCTCTTTGATGCAAAATTCGGAAATATGTACAGTAAATTTGATAAGATAAAGATGGAATGCATGTATATAGTAGGTTAATTGTTTGTTTTTCAGGCAATTTTATGAAATATCAGAAGATTTAGGTATAGAACAGATCATGTATAGGAATATGAAGCGTATTCTGTATTACGTCTCTAAACCCATACGTAACCTAGTCATCTGTAATAGTGAACGTGTCAAGGTCAGTTAAAACATCAATTTTATAAAATTTTAGCTCGACTATTCAAAGAATAGGAAAAGCTATTGTACTAACCCATTTTTGTATGCAAGTTGGTATCTCCAAAACTGCTGAAGGGTTGAAATTTCATACATTTATTTGAGAGCATAATAGGAGGTCACTGTCCACACAATTCTAACAAGGCTTTTGACAAAATTATGGCAGTAACTTAAGGTAACTTACTGTGTGACTTGAGGATTTAAAAACTGCTGATTCAGTAATCATTTAGGATTACAAGTCAGTCATTTGTAGAGAAAATGGTAATTACTGATTAGTTATCCAGGAAAACCAATATGGTTGATCAACTACCAAGATAACACCAAAAATGTGTTAATATTGGGTTTTAATGAGTACAAACAAACAAACAAACTTTAATACCATTTGAAATATCGAACTTTTATTTAGACTGGGTGTTGAATATTTATAAAAATATCTTCAGAGTATCAAATATACACAACCATAATTAACCAAATATTTGTCTGAAAAATGTCATAATGCTCCTTTTTTCCTCCATTGGCTTGTTATTTTACATTGATCTTATTCCGTGTCATAAATTTGTTATTTTACATTGATTGAATACTTGATTGATACAACCCAATAGTAGATTTCTTTGAAATCTTTACTACAATGTTTTGAATGAAATTTGTCTTTTTCAGTTCATCAATCTAGGTGTGAAATGTTTTAGTAATGCACCATCACCTCTTGTACCAGACTGTGATTTCAGACTTTCTCAAGATGTAAGATATACATATGATAATATTTATACTTTATATTGAAAAGTAGAACTGATATGTGAATTATTGAAAGTTGTAGAAAACTGTTTACCTGTGCTCTGATAGAATCATTTTGCCTTTCTTTTTGTGAAAATATTTGTTAGTTTAAAAAAAAAAATGGTTCCGTCCTCAGGACAGGTGAAATTTCTCTTTGACAATTGGTTTGTAATATTGTTCCTTATATGTAATCTAATGTAGAGAAATTTGTAATTACTGGTTAGCTATTCAGAAAAGTCTGTTAGGGGGACACATCACCAAGATATGACTAAAATAATGTGTTGAAATTGGCGTTAAAAACCAAACAAACAAAACTTAATTGAACACTAGTTGAATTGACTAGCATTAGAGCCAAATGAGGAAACATGGTTGGGACAGCAATAGGGTTTAAATACATGATTCCATGGTTGTGAAACACATACACCACTTGACCCCCTTTACTGTTTCATATTTTAACTTAAACAGTTTGTAGTTCATTTATAATATAAAATTACATATGCAGTTTTTCATTATTATCAGGGATTGTTAGCGATTCATCAACACATAAGAGGTAGACGTGTATCACTGACCAAACAAGATATCATTACAATTCTTAGTCAGGAAAACCCGTTCATCTGTAAATTGTCACCTTCAGCACAGGAGAGTGTATATGCTATGGGTAAGGAATAAACTCTTTGAACCTTTAAAGTGATAATTGCGAGCCTATGTCCCCTGTATTGTGATCGACCAATGTGCAGTCAAACTAGGAGCTGTATACCTTGAGCAGCTTAATTTATGTGTTTTGAAATTGAAAACCCTTAAAGTTAATTTTAAACATGTTATGCTTTATTGATTTGAACAGCATTTACATTGCAGTAGCTTTCTTCTTTAATGTTTGCCATTAAGTTTTGAACATTATTTTCACTCTATAGTGCATTATTACCATAATTTTTCTTATCATTTCCATGAAGTGAGATCATGTTTTTCTTTATCGTTTGTATGAAGTGAGATACAATTATGTTTGAAGACAATCATTATGCCCCCATTTTGAAAAAAAGGGGGTATATTGCTTTGCACTTGTCGGTCCGTCGGTCCGTAGACCAAATGGTTTCCGAGTGATAACTAAAGAACCCTTAGGCCTAGGAACTTCAAACTTGGTATGGTGATTGGTCATGACCAGTAGATGACCCCTATTGATTTTGGGGTCAAGGGGTCAAAGGTCAAGGTCACATTGACCTTTTAATTAAAAACGGTTTCTGATCAATAACAAAAGAACCCTTAGGCCTAGGAACTTCAAACTTGGTATGGTGATTGGTTATGACCAATCAGATGACCCCTATTGATTTTGGCGTTAAGGGGTCAAAGGTCAAGGTCACATTGACCTTGTAGGTAAAAACGGTTTCCGATCAATAATGAAAGAACCCTTAGGCCTAGGGACTTCAAACTTGAGATGGTGATTGGTCATGATCAGTAGATGACCCCTATTGATTTTGGGGTCTAGGGGTCAAAGGTCAAGGTCACATTGACCTTGTAGGTAAAAATGCTTTCGGATCAATAACTTAAGAACCCTTATGCCTAGGAACTTCAAACTTGGTATGGTGATTGGTCATGACCAGCAGATGACCCCTATTGATTTTGGGGTCAAGGGGTCAAAGGTCAAGGTCACATTGACCTTGTAGGTAAAAACGGTTTCCGATCAATTTACTAAAAACGCTTAGGCCTAGGAACTTCAAACTTTGTGTGATGATTGGTCATGACCAGCAGATGACCCCTATTGAGTTTTAGGTGAAGGGGTCAAAGGTCAAGGTCACATTGACCTTTTAAGTAAAAACGGTTTCTGATCAATAACTCAAGAACGCTTAGGCCTAGGAACTTCAAACTTGGTATGGTGATTTGTCATGACCAGCAGATTACTCCTATTGATTTTGGGATCAAGGGGTCAAAGGTCAAGGTCACAATGACTTTGTAAGTAAAAACGGTTTCTGATCAATAACTAAAGAACGCTTCGGCCTAGAAACTTGAAACTTGGCATGGTGATTGGTCATGACCAGCAGATGACCCCTATTGATTTTGGGGTCAAAGGTCAAGGTCACATTGACCTTTTAAGTTAAAATGCTTTCTGATCAATAACTCAAGAACGCTTAGGCCTAGGAACTTCAAACTTGGTATGGTGATTTGTCATGACCAGCAGATTACTCCTATTGATTTTGGGATCAAGGGGTCAAAGGTCAAGGTCACAATGACTTTGTAAGTAAAAACGGTTTCTGATCAATAACTAAAGAACGCTTCGGCCTAGAAACTTCAAACTTGGCATGGTGATTGGTCATGACCAGCAGATGACCCCTATTGATTTTGGGGTCAAAGGTCAAGGTCACATTGACCTTGTATGTTAAAAACGGTTTCCTATCAATAATAAGAGAACCCTTAGGCCTAAGAACTTCAAACTTGGCATGGTGATTGGTCATGACCAGCAGATGACCCCTATTGATTTTGGGGTCAAGGGGTCAAAGGTCAAGGTCACATTGACCTTGTAGGTAAAAACGGTTTCTGATCAATTTACTAAAAACGCCTAGGCCTAGGAACTTCAAACTTTGTATGATGATTGGTCGTGACCAGCAGATGACCCCTATTGAGTTTTGGTTTAAGGGGTCAAAGGTCAAGGTCATGACCAGTAGATACTTTATAACCCTTATTAATTGTTTGATCACTGGGTCAGACGTCATGCATAATAACCTTATCACATGACTAATTGGCTGCTGATAGGGGGCATACATGTTTTACAAACATACCTTGTTATAAGATGAAATTTATTCTTTCATTTCAGACCCTGGCAGCACTCTTTTTCACTTTAAACCTAGCGAAAGGTATGCTTGCTTATTATTTTGTTTCTATAAGTTTTGTTAATACTACCAGTAATTATTACTAATATCACAATAAAGTTGTGAAGTTGTTAAATCAGTACAAATATGATAATGGGTTGGCCACGTGTTTCTGATTACTCTTGGGTTTTATCAAAACAACTTGTTGAATGGATTGTAAGATTTTAAATAACTGCATATTTCTTTGATGCAGGAATTAAAAATGATGATTTTTTAAAACTAGCATTGTTGTAATGCAGATAGTCTAAATGATGCATCATTAAATTATGTCTGGAGAATTTTGAGACTTTAGATTCTTGAAATTAATTCTAGGAGTCAATCTAAAAACAATTTGGCGAATTTCAATGTATACCATACGAAATAATAGAAGGCTTATTAGGTTAACTGCCTTTTGGCGGCTAGTATTTGACTGAAAAACTGTAAGGTACATGAACTTAAATCTAAAACAAAGATCAAAATTAAATATGTTTGCAAGTTTCATGTTGTATGTATGTTTTCAGTGATCCAGAGCCGAATGTTGAGATTATTTTCTGTGGTTGGCGAGGAAAGACGTCGGTGAGGTCATTTGTCGGGAAGGATGAGAGGTCACATTACCTACGACTGTGTGGGGTGGAGTTAACAGATATACGTGAGTAATGTTGGAACTGTCTGGGAAATGAAGAATAATTTTTTTCAATGTTTGTTGGTTTCGTTAATGAAATGTAAAATATGACATAACAGTGCTTACATGACAAGTAGAGAATCTGATAGCAAATAGCATGGATTTTGATCAGACTGCACGGATGTGCAGGCTGGTCTGGATCCATGCTGGTCGCAAACCCAATATGTTGGTTTTGTCGTGACACTGCTAAGATCATTTGATATAAATTAAAAATCAGGGTATGTATCTATTGCTATCATGTATTTAGTTATGTTTACTTAGTGCTTTCACAACTTAATAATTTCATTAAAATCATATTGTGACAGATGCTGAACTTCATTTTGCTAGGTATAATAACAGAGCAAAAGCAAATATCAGACTTTAATGAGATTTTAATTGACAACTTCTATGAATATAAATCCTGCGACATTTTTAATGAACCATTAAGCATCTCTGAATTACATCTTTGATTTATCTATATAGAGGCTCAAGTCCAGGAAATGAAATTATCAAGAGACTCTAATACATCTTCGGTAGCTGGTACAGAAACACCTGTTGGAGTGCCGTCTGGTGATGAAGCTGAAGTAGAGCAATGGAATAAAGAGACTGAGGAATCTCGAGGGGCCGAGGCCGATGAAATAGAGGAGGGAAATGGTAGCGAATCTTTGAATGGAGAGTCAAATGATGCTGGAAATGAGGGGAAATTGGAAAGCGAGGGACAAGCAAATGTTGATGAGACTAAGTAGCTGACAAATTTAATAGAGATAACTTCACCAGTCTGTTGAAAATGAAATTTTAGCTGGGGAAAATTGAAGAGTATAGAGGGATGTTGATATAGTGATTTGTTGAGGAGTTTACACCGTGTTCAGATTAATTATACTTCCAATTTGAGATTCTGATGTAAAACTTGAGTCTTTATCAATTGACAAACATGTCAATAAATTATTGCAATGGACCTGTCCTGAATTGAGTTATGAAACTGTTCATTTGTTATTATTTCAGGATTAAAATATGGAAGCAATATTAGAAGCCTAAAATGAAGTTGTCAACAATAAAGGTCAGGTCCACAGTCTTTGTCTACCTAAATACTGCTGGCATATTCAAGTTCTTATCACAAGTCATTGACATCAGGAATTTTTTAAACTAAAAAGATTCAGCAAAATAAGGAATGACTTTTATTCTTACCTTTGTATATATGAACCGCGTCACGACAAAACCAACATAGTGGGTTTGCAACCAGCATGGATCTGGACCAGCCTGTGCATTTGTGCAGTCTAATCAGGAGACCAGCATGGATCCAGACCAGCCTGTGCATTCGCTCAGTCTGATCAGGATCCATGCTGTTCGCTTACCAACTCTATTACAAGTGGAGAAAATGACAGCAAACAGCATGGATCCCTATCAGACTGCGCAGATGCGCAGGCTGGTCTGGATCCATACTGGTCGCAAACACACAATGTTGATTTTGTCGTGACGCAGCTCAAATCTTTTTAAACAATTTGAACTTTTTAATTTGTATGATTTCAGATTTGTATCATGCTAAACAACAAGTAAATGTTTTTATTTCACGGCGTCTCAACGCCGTGATATTGTGATGGGTAGTTTTCGGTAGCATGGGGCAAAAGTCACGTGACAAAATTCCTTTCGATTTCTACAGCCGACATTTTATTGGTTTTTTTACGCAATCATTGTACAGCCCATTTCCGTGAAAAGTCACATAGAAATATTTTCCTTTCAAATCATATACATTACAGTATTTTTATCAACACGCGAAATATCAGCGTGATATATTTACACAATTTCGCAAATCCTTTCGACACACTTGAGAAGTTTGAATACTAAAACCCGGATTTCGAATATCGTTGTGGTCTACATTGATGCCGTACATGTATCCATTCGTTCATTCATTTATATATTTTCAAAATTTTCCTATAAGAAGAAAGTTCACCTGCCAATTAGTATAAGGATAGGTAATGGACTGTTATAAACGATTATCCTATTAATTTTATATATTACGTTTATCTGTTGCACAGAATGGTTGTTTTTACAAGGTGTACCAGTATCCGGATGTTGAAAGCTATCCGATTTTCTGCAAAAACTGCTGTAACATGGCCATCTATATTTTTATGAATACTTTACCATGAATTTGCATGGCTTAATAAAACTGAGCCTGCAACATTTCTTAATTTTGATGTTTGGGGTGTTCTTTTGGGTTTCAGGTTTTCTCTATTTTAAGGGGAAGTATCTCATGTTTACTAAATTATCTGTTTTTTTCTGTCTATCTTAGGTTGAAGTTAGGTATTACTTACTATTTTTGTTTCATAAATTTACCAGTTGTAAGGTATTAATCAAAAGCATAGAGGCCATGATGAGTGAAAATTAATATATATTTTTTTACTGGCTTGATATATACCTTAGACCAGATTAAAGACTTACAGTTATGATGGATGAGACTTGCATTTAAATTTATAAATGATAATACATGATCAGTCTACAGGTTAAAGATGTTTATACCCAGTGTTAGCTGGCTAATAATAGTATCTATAACAGGGTTTATATATTATAGTTTTCTTTCTACTAGATTTTGAATTCCATCCATTAGTACCAATGTTAAAGTTAGGATTTAATATTTATTTAATAGAAACTGGGAATTATTAATGTTATGTGCATACATGTATATCTTAGTATATTGATATGATGAGATTTATAATATTTCTGAATTTAAAGAGTTATTATTAAAGGGATGAGACTTTCATTTAAAGTTATAAATGATAATACATGTATGCATTGATTGAAAATGTCCTGAATCTTGGATCCAGCAATATAATTGATAAAGTCTCAAAACAAATCATATTCTGAATAGTTACATTCTATTGTTTTTCTAACATGTGCATAGTTTGAAATGGACAGCTTCTGCCTTATCTATTTGTAATGGAGGGACACCGGTCTCAATCTCCAGGTCTCCTGAGTCAACCCGACAACATACTTTTCATAGAGTAGATTGTTACTTGCCCTTGAATAAATTTGTACACTAAATTTTTAGTGGGTGATTTAATGTGCCACATGAAAACCATCAAAGTACAAAAAGTAACCAGGCGCCAGATGAAAACATGAAAATACAATCTACCACGAAGTGTTTCGTTGGTTGCATAATTTTCATGTGATGCAAAATACAAATCAGTCTTCATAAAATTTCTTATCATAGAAAAAAGGTTAGTTTTTTATCTGTACAAAAAATAGATATTGTACATGAATTAGCACAGTTATGTTCACTTTTAAATTGACCTGTTATAAATAATGGCACAACCAATAACTGTCTAAGCCCTTTTTAGTAAAAATAATTATACAATGGTATATAAATTGTTATCTTAATTAAAACTATATGAGTATGTAAGGGTTTTTTTTTCTTATTTATTAATTAAGAATTATTTATCTGTTAATTTGAAAATCTAAATATCTGTCATGGTTTAGAACTGTTCACTATTTAGGGGAAAAATGTGTAAGTGGCCAGATAGCTCAGTACATTATTCTGTGGGTCACAAGTTTGAGTTATGGTGAAGCTGAAAGTTTTTATCATCATGTGACTGCATATAACCATGAGTTTAATTCACTATGCTCTGTTAACATCAGAAATTCAAGGACATTAATCAATATAGTGGAGAAATATGTTGTGGTTTAGAACTGTTTCATTATTTAAGAGAAAATGTGCAGCCGGCCAGATAGCTGAGTTGGTCTTCTGAAAGTCATGTGTTCGAGTCATGGTCAGGCAGTTTCAGTCAGGGTTTAGAAGTGGGTTTGCGACTGGCACATGTTTTATTCATTTAATAAAGTGCATTTAATTTGAAATGGACAAAGGCAGTATTGCATGATACTGTTAGATCTACAAAAGCATTTGATACAGTTGATCACACTATACTGCACATGAAGAAGTTCTTTTTCTTCTTCTTAATGGAACTTCAAGCATCTGCCATATGTAATGACATTCTTACATGGTTCAAGTTTTATCTCTGATAGCAGCTGGTTGATGTGGCTGGTACTCCTTCTACTTCTGCTTTGAGTACCTATGGTGTCCCCCTGATGTTCATTTTAGGTCCTCTTTTATGTCTAAAATATGTCAATGACATGTCTGCAACCCTAAGCAATACTGAAGCTTTATTATATGCACAGGTACAAGTATCAGACCTGGGAAGAAAAAAATATGATAAGATTTTCTTCCCAGGTTTGATACTCGTGCATGTGATTATATGATGATGACTCAGGTATCCTTGTATCTGGTAAAATAAATCTTAAGATTGGTTAATTGACTATAAATTGTCTTTGCATCTTGGCAAGACAGTGTCTATTCTTTTTGGTTTAAGTTTCAACTTAAACTGGGGTTAGCCTCCAGGTCACATGAAATGGTACAGCTATAAAGTACACATCTTTTGTTAAGTATTTAGGTCAAATTCTTTTGGCGTCGCCCTTTGATGCTTTGCATCAATGCTTTTCTTGTTGTCTTTTTTGAATAATTTCATTTTCTTGCGCAATAAAACATTTTTTACCTAAAATGAGACTTGGTTTTCCATATGCGTTTCACAGTAAGCATTTACCATACCAGGTTGTACAATAACTTAATTTGGTCCATAAATCAGTCTTTTACACAAAGTCTTCTGAACTTCATTCAGAATTCATGTCTCATTATTGTGAGCAAAATTCTGAGTTTCCTTTAGCTATAAGCTGGAAATTGTTTAATTATCCCCCGCCGAAAAGGCGGTTGGGGATATAAAATTAGTCTCTGTCCGTCCGCCTGTCCTTCCTTCAGTCTGTCCTTCCGTCCTCATTTTAGTCCGGACCATATCTTAAAAAGTATTTGAGGTATCAACTTGAAACTTCATAGGTGGATAAATCATATTTAGGAGAAGTGCAGTGCTTAACAATGATGATTCTACCCTACATAATTTTTCAGTTATTGCCCTTTGTTATTTTTCAAACTCAATTTTTGTCCAGAGCATAACTCAAAAAGCCTTTAAGATGGATAGATCTCACTCAGGAGGTGTGCAGTGCAAAAAAGTGATAACTCTACCCCTTCATAGTTTTTGAGTAATTGCCCTTTGTAATTTTGCATACTTTATTTTCCACCTGAGTGGAGAATAACTAAAAAAAATCTTGGAGATGTCAACATGAACTTCATCGGTGGATTTATCTTATTGATGAGGAATGTTGTGCGAAAGAATGATAACTGTACTGATTATAATTTTTTAGTTATTGACATTTGTTATTTTTCATACATTTTGTCCTGAGCATATCTCAAAAAGTGTTAGAGGTAGATCTTACTCAGGAGGTGATAACTCTACCCTTCATACATGTATTTTTTGAGTTATTGCCCTTTGTTATTTTTCATACTAAATTTTTCACCTGAGTGGAGCATATCTCAAAAAGTGTTAGAGGTAACACCTTGAAACTTCATAGGTGGATAGACCTCATTGAGGAGGAGTGCTGCACACAAGAGTGATAACCGAGCATGCATTATTTTTCAGTTATTGCCCTTTGTTATTTTTCATACTAAATTTTTGTCCAGAGTATAACTACAAAAGCCTTTGAGATATCAACATGAAACTTCATATATAGATAGATCTCACTCAGGAGGTGTTCAGTGCATAAGGATGATAACTCTACCCTTCATAATTTTTGAGTTATTGCCCTTTTTTATTTTTCATACTAAATTTTTCACCTGAGTGGAGCATATCTCAAAAAGTGTTAGAGGTAACACCTTGAAACTTCATAGGTGGATAGACCTCATTGAGGAGGAGTGCTGCACACAAGAGTGATAACCGAGCATGCATTATTTTTCAGTTATTGCCCTTTATTATTTTTCATACTAAATTTTTGTCCAGAGTATAACTACAAAAGCCTTTGAGATATCAACATGAAACTTCATATAGAGATAGATCTCACTCAGGAGGTGTTCAGTGCATAAGGATGAAAACTCTACCCTTCATAATTTTTGAGTTATTGCCCTTTTTTATTTTTCATACTAAATTTTTCACCTGAGTGGAGCATATCTCTAAAAAAGCTTTTTAAATGTCAATATGAAACTTCATAGGTGGATATATGTTATTAAGGAGGAATGTTGTGCACAAGAATGTTAACTCTACCCTTTATAATTTTTGAGTTATTGCCCTTTGTTATTTTTCATACTAAATTTTTCACCTGAGTGGAGCATATCTCAAAAAGTG